AGGCAGTCCAGGTTTAATAACACTGTGTCTTTTTATACCTGTAACTTGATTTGCGTCCAATATTATGCAATGCTCTAGAAAGACAATTGCTGTGTTTTCTCCTGGGGGTAGAAAGTCACCGTCTGTTCTTTTAGCTTATGTCTTTTCTTGCCTGACTTTAATTTTCTGGCTTCTGCATCACGTTAGAAAAATGTCAGGAAAGTGATCATAGATCACACTTTGGCTCCTATTTAGGGAATCTTTGTGATCTAGGGTGTAGTTTGCACTTTTGGAGTGAAAAAAAGAAAAGTGACAATATGTTCATAAATTAGTGAGAAAGAATTTGAGAGGTGATTTTATTTATATATTCATGTATTGTAAGGTTCTCCTTCTGCATTACTTTCATAAGAGCAGGCTTATTTTTTTTTAAAAAAAGAAGTGGGTGACATAGACTTAAGTAGTTAGAGACAATTTCTACGTTTTTAGCTGTCTGCCTAAATCTCTCCTCTCTTATCTGTAGAATAGGAAAGCCCTAAAATGATTAATTTATTTTTTATCTTTAATAGATTATTGCCAAGACATTGCAAATGTGTGCCACATCTTATTTATAGCGCAGTCTTGTAAGCAGCCCGAGGCCCAGTGAGGAGAGGTGAACTGCCTGCGGTCACACAAATCAGATCAATTGGACCACATGCGTTCTGTTTATGTTAACCAGAACTTGCCATAATTCACACAGAATTAATTTTAAAAATGCAGTGTAGTCATTCACCCCACAGGCACGGGGTAAGATGCCTTTTCTCTGTGCTAAAGAGACAAAAGTGTTATTTGGGAGATCTTGCTTGGACCCTAATGGGAGCAGAGCACAGGTCATACCCTTAAAATAACCTCAAGCTATTTGTACAGGAATATTGCCTTTTCTGTTCCTCTGCAGAATGGAACTGAACAATTCTGTTCAAAGCTGCGCCTTAGAGCTGTGAACAATGAGCAAGTTAGAGTAAAGGGGGGTCTTTAGTGCCCACTGATATGGGTACAGGGGCACCCAAACCGGGTTTAATGCTCATACAGTAGGACAGAGCAGACTGAGACAGCAGGTTGAATCCAGGTCCATCACATTTGCACTAAAGCTACTTTTGCAGCTTTGCTGACAACCTCCTCAGGGCACCACACAACAGCTGAGTACCACCCTGCTTTGACAAGGCTGCTGTGGATTTGGACATGGTGTGAGTCAGCAGCCTTTGTGGTTTATAACTCTGCCTGTGGTCATGTTCTGTATCAATGTCTAGCTAGTTCTTGTTCAGATTTACAGCAGATAAAGATGCATTACACGTTTTTTCTAGGATCACTAAAAGCATAAACAGAGATTCTTATTCTGAATGGTTTAGGGCTGCTTACAATTTTACATCATTCTGCCTTTATCGCTTTATAGCTCAGAGTTCTAAGATGCAAATCCATTCCAGTGCTGACTACAGATGTTAAATATGTAGCATAATCAATTTACACACCAATGTGATGACACTCACAAGTTTGATATAGTGCAAAAATAATTATTCAGATAACATTTCTTACCAATGCAAAAATTCAAAGGCTATTTTTTTTAATATTAAAAAAGTTTGATATAAAGCATCACATTGTGCAAATCACTGCAAGATTTCTTTAGAGATTTTTTATAAAACACACATACTGTATATATAGTATATACATATGAATTATTCCAAAAGAACATTATTTTCCTTACAATATAATGTGAAATATTTATAGTAATATCTAAATTGTAGCTTTCGATTGTGCAGAACAGGAAACAGGAGAAGAATGTCTGTCAGAGCACTCTAAAGAGAGAAATATGTTAAGTCCTCCTTTAGGAAACTCTTGAGTGGTAGTAAATCTCTTCAGATTCACAGCAAACAAACAAGACTAATATCTTCATCAAACTGATGACAATCAATGAGTAAGAAGTGAATCTGCATTTTGCCCTGCGAAAATCAGGCCTTCAGTCTGCTGCATTGAATATGTATGACCTGTGAAGGGCTTGCTCTGATGAACTAAGACAGTGCACCAGCATTCATTTATTTTGCAGAAATAAATCACAATAAAACTAAGAGTCCTACTGTTTTACTCACAGAGTAAGTGATGGTCCACTCAGCACAGAGTTGGTGGCCAGGGATGGGTTGACGTTAATAGTCACACAGATAGTTAATCACAAAAGTGGAAAAAAAAACATTAAAATTTTATTTTTAAATTGCATATACAGTATTTCTATACACATAACTCTAAGTATATACAGCACACATATAACTACTACTACTGATGTTAATGATGTGCCTTGACTACAAGATCATAGGAAGCAACTGCTACTGTTTTTTAAACCTGCAGAAAATATGAAAACAAACACTTCCAAGAAAAATTATCCTTGACATTCCAGTGGACCACTTACTGTGGGATTTTATGTGTTTCATCAGCACCCACAAGTTAAGCTGCTGTTTTTGTGTATTTAAAACAGCATGTGTATAAGCAAGGCTTTTCTTGCAGATAATCCAAGCCTCTGTTCTGCTCCAAGGGTAGAGGAGGCACTGAGGTAAAGCAGGTTGAGATTTTCTACTGCGTGCATCACTGCTGAAATCTAGCAAATCAGGAGTATGACTGAACACCCATATCCTTTACTCAGTGTCAGTGCTGCAAGAAAAGTTGCAGGCATTTTCTAGGCATTATACAGTATATAAGGTAGAGTCTAGAATTTCTTTACTTCTCCTGAGAAAAATCCAGTCTCTGTGAAGAGCTCACTTGGAAGGCTCCTCTTCATTAGGGAGGAGCGCAGTCTTCCACCATCCGTTTAGCTGACAAAAGTGTCATTAAAAAGTGTCATGACAGGTTCCCAGACAAATGTCATAAAAATATGTGTCTCAGCTCCTCTCCTCATTACCTTAATCACCTGAGCACTGCTACGTCGCGTAGCTCGGCAGGAGATGCTGTAATTTTCTTCCATTTCTACAAACCGAGTTTTAATCAATTACCTGACATAAAACACCAGAGCAAACCCACAGAGTGTTTGTTAAAACACATTATAGGTGTCAAACATGCTACTCCGAACACTTCCATTCTCAATCTGAGGCATCCAAGATTCTCACAAGGTATAACAGCCAAACTGTAGATACAACAAGCTTCCAAAACACTTTGAAACCCAACTTTAAAAACAACATCTTTGTTTCCATAGATGAGATCCTAGGATGACAACGTATGATTACTCTTTTTTACAAAATGATGGCACAACAGCACGATCTCTCAGAAATCATGGTCAGAGAATCACTACAGTGGATGTTAGCCAGGAAAGAATGAGGTTTTTATTATTAAATCACATTCTAAATACGGTGCCTTTGTTTTATCTAAAATGTGTCATTTTTAATGCATGCACTATTAGTCAGTACTGCGGATAAAGTTTTTTTTGCTTGTTTTTAAAACCAGTATAATAACACTGGTTCACAATGTACTCATCGAGACAGAATTTTGGCCTGCTTCTAATCTACTACATTATAAAACATAAAACCTGCAGAAACAAACGTTCTCAGTAGAATCTCAGCAGGACAGACTGAAATGGCCCTAGCTGCATTGACAACAGCTCAGTGCACAGGCAGTGATATTTTCGTTAAGACAATATAGTATCTCATAATTATTAAAATATTAAGACTACATTTCTACAGCAGTGAGAACTTGGTATACAATAATCCCTAGAATGTTTGTCATAAATCCTATGTATTAAACAGATTGTTTGCACAAAATTAAGGCATTTGCTACTGTTTGTTTTTTCCAACTAATGAAAGTGTTGTGAGAAGGGCTTTCTGACAAATGTGGTTTGTTTTGCAAGATATATGATTCACGGTGGTGTCTTCTGCTGCAGATCAGGAGATACCCAGCAGGTATTACTTGTGTGCAGTCAGATAAAAGCCTCAACCCGACATCTCTGAAGCTGGGTAAGTGAGGGACACTTAGTTGCAGGACAATGCACCTCTATGACTGGAAGGTTTCTTACATCTCATCTCACCCAAAATGGCAACATATTGGGTGCTGGACAGCATCCAGGAGTGCACTGATGTGCTCTGTGTTTCTGGCTGTTATTTTAGGCTGACAAGATTAAAGTTCTTTAGATTCCAGCTTACACAGAAGCCTGGAAACCCTGACTCTTACATTGCCTTTTAATGGAATGCTTCACGCCATGAGATTAGAAATGGAAAAAAAAATGCTGAAAATGGAGTCCAGAGGCTTTAATGTGCAGCATGATAGCTACACAAGGGCTTTTCATATCTCATTAAGTTATAAAGGTCAGGAGAAGGAACACAGTCGGGAGCAGTAGTGTATTTCCTTTCTTCAAATTATTCACTAAATGTTTAGCAACCTTTGCTTTTTCTAAAACAAACCAATTATGCAACTGTTTTTTGTGGTCAAAAGGTATTACATTTGAGAATTCAAGTTTATTTGGCACATAAACATGACTTTACAGGCCATTAACACCTGATGTCCTAAAACTCATTTTGGGTAATGTATTCTCAACACTATGCTAAATTCTGTCATTGTCATTATCAAGAGGAATGAAAACCAGGACAAGGAGTCTTATATTTCTGAAGCTGGATAGAGCTGGAGTTCTGAAGAGTTACAGTACAGTATGAGGCAGCAGAACCTGAAAACTTCATCTTGATTCTGACAAATCTTTCTGTTTGTTTGATTTTTACTTTCCACAACATCATGGCAGTGTTCATATGGTTCTAAGCATGTTTAAAATATATTTATACAGTAGTATCCATATATGGACATTTTCAAAGCATGTCAGAAAAATTAAGCACTGTAGCAAGAAAACCTTTAGCTAGAATAGTGTCCACAGGAATACACAACAGATATTTTGCATTCAGTATTCTGGAACCAGGTAGCACCTATTAAAATGGGATGACCGCTATTTCATCATACTCCTTCGCATGTCACCCAGGGCTTTGCTCGTTTTTATTTTGGATTAGCCTTCTCGGGGTTTAATTTCATACCTGACAGCACAACTTCAACAAGGTCTCCCTCCTGAATGTCTGTTGCACATTTCACCAGCTGGAGGATATTGTCCGAGCTTGGATCATGACGAAACAAGAGAATTTTGTCATACATCCCATAAAAGCCACACTCTGGGAACTGCAAGATAAGATAAAAAGACATATAACTACAAAAATCATTAAAGGATCTACTGATGAACTGAAAAGTCACAGAAATCATAAATGTATTACAATTGTAAATATATATATTTTTTTGGACACTCAATCTGTATATACCTATGCACAACTTGCACATATTTTATTGTAATACAGTGACTATGAGTATATTTTGCACACACCTATGTATTTATTTTATATTTATGTTGTATAACTGTACGTAATTTAATTTTTCTTCTATTCTGATGTCTGATTTTTGCTTGTCTTGGGCTGGACTGCTGTAACACATCAATTTCCCTTCGGGATCAATAAAGTCTTATCTATCTATATTATAATGGAGAACATTATATGGCCGCTAGGAATCAATGAACAGTATAATTTAAAAGTGTATAATTTTTAAGTGTAAAATCCCACATTGTTTGAAAAGCTTATAATTTTGGCATCACTGGATTGTCCTGAGACGGGTCTGGCTATGTTGTGAAAATGTGGCTGATCGGGACACGAGTCTCTTCTTTACACAAAGGGTTGTTGGAAGCCGATACCCTGACAGCGGTTCATGAAACAGCTGCATGAGATAGTTGGATCAATTAGCTACTACAGTAAGTACTAAGAGGGTAGTCGGGGCCTAATCCCCTCATCTCACTTGTAAACTTTTTGTTCTTCTGAGATATGGTGGCATTTTAATTTAGATGGATGAATGCACTATATTTCTTTGAGGTGAACCTCTGCCTTTTCTGAATAATAACATTTTCAGAATTGCAATTTGATAATATTTGTAAAGCTTTCGACAGCTGTGTGAAAAAGACACTGTTATTACAGGGAGGATAAATGTTCCCAAATTTTCACATAACAGACAAAAGAAATTCAATTTTCTTTGCCTTTTCAGTTGCATAAAACAAAGAACAGACATTTTTTTCTCACCCATTTCCATCTTCCCTGAAGATATAATATTGCAGTAAAGCTGCTGAAGACCCACAGGTTAACACACCTATAATCCCATTTGAGTACTGATCATCTCTTTGGATTTTTTTTTCTTTAGCAACCATCACTTTACAAATGTGTTTCTGCCTGAAGCAGACATTTTTCTTTAAACTACAACCACTAATATAAACATGGGAAATGGCAAAACATGTTATCAGTATAACCTTCAAAGCAGTAAGCAATCACTCTTGCTTTTTAACGTAAGGCAACATGATATTTATAATTAATAAAACTGCAGACGTCAATTTACCCTACATTTTGTGGTTGTGTTTTAATGGTTAGCTAATGAACCATTTGCAGGCTGTGCAATCAAACAAGATGTATTGTATACTTGTCTTTGAAAGTAGACATATTTCTGATTTTAGCCTTTTCAATTAAAATAATCTGAACTCACAGCTCACAGCCCAATATTTTTGTCTTTACCCTTGGGGTTACCATCCCACTCTGTAGTAAATGAATGAAATGGACGACAAACCCACAATTCACCCACAAGGGAACTAAGTCCTTTTAATCAACATAATTAATTCTGTGCAGTGTCTGTAAGTCTCTTGGCAATTTGTATAAAACCAATGAACAGGTGAGGCAAACCTGAAAGCAGAGCTATCAAAAATAATGCTAAGGAAAAGGGCACAAATATGACCTATGATGTGTTGTGCTCTCAATTCTAGTCACAAACCATTGACAGCAAACATCTGTGCTGCGCTTTCTGAACTATTGTATTTGAGATGCGTCAACTTAATAATCAATTCAATGTCAGAGAGGAGAACAACATATTGATAGACAGTGTCCTTTCCTGGGGAAGAGTTGTTGGTACTGCATTGATTTATGTTGTGTTTAATCACCCTGCTTCTATACAAAATTCTATTACTATTCTGCGAATTCAGAATGACACTGGACCCTGGGCAACATTGCAGCATTGAACAGGAACTATTTCAGGCTTTTAAGATCATATGCTAGGATGACTTCAAATATTAAAACATGTACAATTTTTGTGCTTTTCCATATAAGACCATATTTTCCTTTTGCCTCACAATAAACAGGAGGCCACAATAGTATAGTCTCTTTAGTTGTCTGATATACAATTTTCCTAAATAAGCTAAGGAACGGGATGTCCGGTTAATAATTAATGGGATCCCTCTGTATTTAAAGGTTCCACAATTTTGTAACAGAATGTACAGTAAGTCTGTACAGGAATGTAATAGCTTCGATATGTTGTGGTGGTGGCAGAGGATTATCAATATTTGTTGTTATAACAGAAGTTAAAACACATTCTTAAACTGCTGGTACATTTATTTTTGCAATATCTTTTTATCAGCCTCACCTGTTGAACTTGAGTTTATATGTTTTCTATAGAGAGTGATTTTTTTTTGTCTTGTTCAGTTTTGATTGAACTCCCTTGAATGGAATATCAATATTCGCATATGATTGCTCTGGAAATCCAAAAGAAAAATGTATCAATTTAGAGTACATATAAAATGTACTGAAAATTGTATTCATTAAAATGTGTAATTGTACAATCTATCATGTGCAGCAGTTTGTAATAGATGTTTCTTCTTTTTTGTCATCTGTGAAAACCCCTCAAATTGCCATACACAGTTTGTATGGGTTTAAATAAAAAGTATGCAAAGCAGAGATGTTAAAACCACACTTTCAATCAGAGATTATATTTAAGTGAGAAATGTGTCAAAATAACTTGTTTTATACAGCAATTAACCTGCTTGTTTTTTACATCTATCATATGAAAAACCAAAATCTACACATAGGATGTCTGACTTTGTAACGTAGATTAACGAAATCGTATCTGTATCCACAACTTACAATTCACACACTTCTAGTTTATCCTGAAAGGCGTGCGAGTCAATGACGACAGAATTTCTGCTTGTACATTTTCTAATTATGTTGCTGTCCTTTTGCAATCATGCAGCAGTAACAGCTGAGTGGGTGGGCACTGGCACATTTACATAATTACAATAACAGCGACTCTGGAAGGACCTTAAAAAATGAAACCAGCATTTTATTGGGGGGGGGGGGGAAGAAAAGAATGAGAGGGAGGGGTGCAATGAGATTAAAAGGAAAGACCGACCGAGAGCGACTGATTAAGACGCCCCAGCCTCTCTCTCTCCGCGCACACGCTCAGTGACCTTGGGGGACAGTTCCCCAGCGATAGACAGCAATAAACAGAGTGGTCTCACAATGCCACTGGCGTTAAAGCCGTTTCAATGCCATTTCCTGTCAGCAAAGCCGTTGCTTTGCTTGTGCAGTGTTAAAACAGAGTAAAAGTGTTTGAATAGAGGCAGAATCCGCCTTATAAATAAACCTCGCAATAAGGCTGCCAGGACCGTTTCTGATGCAGAGCTGAGCGGAAATGGCGCTCGCTCTTGAACACGGTTCTGCTTCACAACAGGCGGGATCAGCGAGTCAATCAATGTTCATCTGTTCGCGGTGCGAACTGCCTGGCATTTGCGTCTTACTTTCTTGCCTTTCGTGTTGACGGAGATTTTTTTTTTATTCTAACAAATGGCGCTGTGGTATTTTATTTTGGTGTTTTCACATACTGTATTTAAAGCTCTACTGAATAATAAAAAAAAGCTGGTTATTTGAAGGCTCCTGTGAAGTACTAGATCTAGCACCATCTCGATTTTCCAAGGATAAAACAAGTCTAGACCTACACGTATAGTTATACGTCTGTAAAAGTAACTTTTTTATTTTATTAGAAACAAATTCTTAATGTTGACTTAAATATAATGTTACTTTACAAGTTTCATAACAAATAATGTAACAGTTTTTTTTCTTTTAAATTGTCTCATTTGTTTTGTTTTTTGGGGAAAGGCATTGATCTGTTTAACAATAGCTCTCTGCATCTCCTTTTAATGAGGCTTTTAGAAAATGATACAGAGATGCAAGCATGGTACTAAGGTCACCATGACAGCAGATCCACTGTAACACTATAGTTGTCATGGCAGCAGAACTCAAGGCTCTTTCCTGATTGAATACTATTCATTTATTTGACACAACGAGTGCACATGTATCTGCTGCATGTCTCAGCCATCAAAAGGAAACAGGAAAATGCTGATACTTGTCATTAACCCTTGCAAAACGTGGTTTCAAGCACTCCGGCTAGAATTCTACAAATTACACATGTGGCTATTGCAGATGTTACCGTCTGTCACAGATGGAGCCTAGATGTCTTTTCTTCATCAGCGCTATCCAGTGGCAACTATTGTATTTTCTGTTTTCTTGTGCAAGGTGAACTGAAGCGGGGTGCTCTTTTACACTCTCCTGTTTCTAAATCGTCCGTTTGCTTGTGGCACTACAACATTCTTTTCTGAATTAAGATGGTCAAACTTGCAAAAGCAGAAGAATGTCAAAATAAAATTATGAAAGGTGTGAAAATTCTTAAACATTAACGAGGGCGAGTCCAGGCTGGGCATGCACTGATTAGTTACAGTTGTGAAAAATCTGGTTCAGAGGAAATGAAGTTGTGTCTGAGGCAAAACTCCGTGGGCAATTCGTACTGGGACTGTGAACAGCTATTTAGAATACTGGCCCTTATCTGCAGATTTCCACCATAAGAGTTTCTCATTGTTTTCCTTCTCTTATCAAATCATATTAGAAAGCTTACTTCTTTTTTGTTCTCTGTATACAAGACACTAGAAATACTTTCTATCTGACCAAATGTCATGCATACAATAAGATGGAGGGCTGAAGCACGAATGGAATAAGGACGTTTTTATTGGTCAGTGGATTTCCGAATCATTGTTTTGCTTTTTAATACATTTAATGTGCCTAAATGTTTCATTAAACTTTGCCTTGTTAACTTATCCTGCGCCCTATCTTAACATAAAGCCCTTGTATATCCTCCCACGTCTGGGAGACATTTATTTCCACAAAACGGTCTCCCGTAGAGAACGAGCTCTGGATCGCATGTCTGAGGACAATCGGTTTTTCTCCCTCCAGGATTAACACCCTGTGACTTTCTGAGTGTAAGTGCCTCTTCCCTGT